GACGTTGAATTACCCTAAGAAGGGTCCTGGGCAAACTTGGTAAAAGTCAACACGGGAATATTCCAAGAATATTTCAGAGAATATTCTTTGACGGATTATTCCCCAAAATATTCCATCGGATCTAGGTTGCAGGGGTTGGGCCGATTCTAGGCTTGGACCAAGGTTCATCTGTTGTAACCCAAAAGATTTCTCCTTGGCTATGGCTAGCCTCATAAGAGACCCAGAGATGGCTCAGAGCATGGGTGTATGTTGCGCATTTAGCAACCTAAATATTAAGTTACTAATTATATGTTTAAACTCGCAAGTGCACAAGATCAAACACATAGTATAGAAAGCAAGTACGAGATCATTCCCATGAGGATTGCACTAACATGTATCTAGATTATGATTCCTAACAATTTAAATTCATTCTTTTACAAAAGCTATCAAATTTGCACATAAAGGTTTAAAAAAAAAAAAAAACACAATATAAAGAATGTAGGCAAATAAAAGTAATTGACAATAAGGGTTTTGAAAATGATGTTTGAATGGTTAGGACACAAAATAAAACAATCGATACACACATTGACACAAAACAAATTTTTGATGCTTCACGTTGGTCAACCTAAAGACATGATATCTACTCTATAAGCTATTGATTTCCCTAAACAACAAATTAGGCATGGTGTGTACACTAACTCTTTTCATTCTCGAAGTATTTAGCATGGTATCTACTAAGTTGCACTCCGAGAAAGCATAATACAATGGAAATCGACAAACACACAAATCCTAGAACATGGTATCTATTCCGGTTACTCGTGATAATTAATTCCAAGAACTGTAACTAGTTCTCTTGTTACTCGACATAGGTACAAGACTCGATTATCCAAATTTATGTATGTAACGAACTCAATTACAAAGCTATTCTATGATGATCAATCATAAAATAATTCAATAAGATTGGAATTAAAATAGAAATTAACCATTAAAGCATCAAATTGTCTTGTAACAAAAATGTATGAAAAATACTCAAGGAAACATGATTACTACTTCAACCAAATCCCAACTATGGAATTTAGTTACTCATAATGAAATTGGCTAGCTAAAACATTAACGAAAAATAAAAAGAGGAAGAAGGAAACTCTGGGGATGCTGCGACCGCCACTTCTTCTATTTCTCCGTTGCTGCTTGCTGCCTCCTACCTTTTCTGATTTTTTGTTATTCCCCGCAGCCTCCTCTCATCAGGGATGTAAATCCCCTTCAATTTGCAACCGCCAAAAGGCCAATGGTCTTCCCTTCGTTTCTAATTTAATGGGCTTTCAGGACCCATTTTATTAAAACCTTCTTATTTATTTTCTTCCAGTCTTTTTGGCTTCTTTTAGCTAGATAAAAAATTCCCCATAAATAGGAATTTAATAAATAGATTGGCAAATAGTTTCAAATATGCAAAAACCAGTTTCAAATATTTTTATAATCACACAATTTGGGCCACACTGGCAGCACCATTCACTCACCTCACTTCTCTCTCTGTCCCCCCCCCCCGTGAACCCATCATTTCTTCCTTTTTCTTTTCGTTTTCTGTCTTCCTGTCTCTCCCTCTCGACTCTCACTTCTCTCCCTTCTCTCCACCGCAAGCACACACACGCACAGAGGCACACGAGTGTGCGAGGAAGAACCATCACCTTTCACCATCTTGTCCTGCTCTCTCTCTCTCTCCCTCTCGTTCCTGCGACCCCAGAAAACCGGAAAAAAGGGACTTCCGGCGAGATTTTTCAATCTCCGGTTAGGTAAGCCCCTAATTATCTCTATTTCGTCCTTGAATCTTGCTGGAATGACTTTTTAAAATGAGATTATTTAGTGATTTTTGGAGGTTTAGGATGAAAACAAACTCGGTGTAGGAACACCCATTTCCGGCGAGGAATCAGCCACTTTCGAGGCAATTTACGGCCAAACCACGGTGATTTAGCCGGCGTACAAGGTATCAATCTCTTCGTCTCGTCGAGTGCTACAACTTTCCTTTTTGTTTCACTCAATTTCGTTGAGTATTGAAGAAGTTATATCCATTTGAATCTTACCCAGTTTCCGGCGACCTCCGAGGCTTTCGAGGCCATTTTCGGCCAAACCACGGCGAGTTAGATGTCATGTGAGGTATCATTCTCTTCGTCTCTTCCAGGGCTACAACTTTCATTTTTGTTTTCTCTTGATTTCGTTGAGTTTTGGCAAAGTTATAGCCGTTTAAAGTTGGGTGGTTTTTCGGCCGAATTTCCAGCCTTCTTCTTCGGCAAAACCAGGCCTCTCAGGCCCTTTAGAAAACCCCACGGGCCTTAGCCCGTTTTGGACCAACCCAGTACCCCAGCCCGCATCCTTTTTATTTTAGTTATTTGTTTTTAAAACCCAAAAGGCCACGGGCCTTAATGCTGAAGGGCCTTGGGCCGGTTTTTGCTAAAAGGCTCAAGCCCAGCCTCTGTGTGTGTGTGTGTTGTGTGGGCTGTGCACTGCATGTGCAGCCCGTGTGTGTGTGTGTTTGGGTTTAAGCCCAAACCCCATTTCTTTACCCTAAAGCCTTTTCACCCTAAAACCCTTTTAACTCAAAAACCCTAGGTTTCTAAAACCCAATAGATCCTAATCCTATTTAACCTAAACCCTAATCCGGATTTTAAGCCTAAAACCCGTTAGACCTAATTTGACCGTTGACCCCCGGTCAACGTTGACTTTAGGGTTGACTTTTCGGGTTTTCGTCCGAGACCCTTTTTAGGGTAATTCGACGTTCTGAATCCGTTTCTGATGTTCGTTTTCCCAAATTCAATTGCTATTATATAGTTTTATTAATTGAGTCATTTATGTGCTTAGGGGCAATTATAGTAGCGTTTCTGTCTTCGCTAGTTGCGTGGTTCTTCGGCGGCTAAATACTGTGAGTGGACCCCTTCTAAAATGCATGTTTTATAGTAGAAATGCATACATGAAAAGCATGATTTGATGATTACGTTTTATGAAACGTTTTGTGAGATAACATGCATACTGAGGCTACTTTGAATTATTACTATTTTTCCTATAAACCGTGTTCTTATAGAATATCTGATGGATGACGATATGATATTTAGAACATGTTTCGAACACCTCTTTATAGTATAGATGATGGATGACTTTATACTATGAAGTTGTTTTTCAATATATATATGTTCAATGGTTTTGTACTTACCTAGTGGTCCTTTCCGCTACGGGACGTAGGGATAGATTCCGATCAGTCCCGGGCGACGGTTTGGTGTTGGCATAGGGCCTGGAGTGTGTTTCCTCTAGCTATTTAGCACAGGGACGGGGAGCTGGCATGGGGCCTGAAGTGTATTTTCCTCTAACTGTCTGCTCAGAGACGGGTAGCTGGCATGGGGCCTGGGGGTTATCGGACAATTCACTAGTGATTATTATATATATGAGTTGTGATTTGAGACATTGCACGACATGCTAGGTTTCGAAAAACCTATGTTTAACATTATATATGTGTTTTCATAAAACCTAAGGGTTAGTACGTTGATAACTGTTTTATTATATATATATATATATATATATATATATATATATAAACTTGGTCCATTCATGTTTGTTTTGCGCCCCTTTCAGGGCATAGAATTGAGGCATACAATCCCGATGTCAAGGCACTTCCACATCGGCATCTTCGAGTCTTCTTGGTGTAGGATCCATTCTGTTATTCATTCAATTTTTATATTATTTCTTTTAGTATTCTAGTTAGTTGTATGTTCTGAACACGTTCCTGAAATGCATATTCTTTACTCTTTTATATTATAAACCTTATCAATTCCTTGTTTTTAGCATTTGCACTCAATAAATGGCTTTCGTCACCCTCGGGTGTCGGCCAGCACGTGCCTATCCTGATATTCGGAGAATTATCGGGATCGGGGCGTGTCATCGTTTGTCTTTCAAATTTATGTTATTAGTCCTTTTAGTTGTCCCAACAAATGTACTATATTTATTTAAGCCATTTGGTTGTTCATTTCCAAGCATCAAGTTAATCAATTAAACAAAACAACCTTTGGGTTTTCAACCAAAATCTGGTGGACTCCAAAAATTGTATTCTTCAAGGGCTTACGTTTGTATCTCTCTTGCTTCGTCCTGCGTCACTTCCATAGGTTATTGCAACTCTACAAAGCTTCTTGCCTGATCTCTTATATTCTAGGGGTGTGATATCTACACACCCTATTTTACTTCTCACACAACTTTTTAATTTTCGGACGTCGGATCAGATGAACTGAAGAAAATCAACAAACAGAAAGTATCAAGGGGTGTGTGAGAAGTAAAATGGGATGTGTGGATAGCACACCCCATATTCTAAAATCAATTGAGAATTGAGAAATTATGAATAGTTCTACATTTCAACGCACATTGTTGTTTTGATTTTGTTCTGAGGTCGAGGGAGGAGGCTAACTATTGAGGTGTGCACCGTGATCATACAGGGTTGAAACCGCAGCTGTTGAGGCGTCTTGCAGAGGCTTACGCGTGTTGTCATGAAAGGCAGACTTTATTGTAGGCGGACTCAAACCGAGTCCCAAGAAATGCTAGAGTTGTAGAGGTTCTTGGGCTCGTTAAACATAGGGGTGTGCTATCCACACACCCCTTTTTACTTCTCACACACCCTTTGTTAATTTCTGTCCGTTGATCTTCTTCAATTCATTCGATCCGACGGCCCAAAATTAGAAGGGTGTGTGAGAAGTAAAAAAGGGTGTGTGGATATCACATCCCTAAACATAATGCTAGAGTAACAGTTCTGCGAAGTGTCAAAAGCAGGAACAAGTTGGCAATCTGCCACAACTTCCATTTCCATTTGCAAGCTGTTTGCCAAGATCATGCCTATTCCCATCCGTCCCTTCTGCACTCCCGAACTAATCGCACGGTAACAAATCACAATCTCCCTGGCAACAACACAGCAATTCAAAGTTGCTTCCAAAACAAGGAAGTGGGATCAGGGCTTGGTGAATTGCTACCAGTATACACGTACAGGTATATTTTGCTTATTTGTTGACGGCATCATTCTTCCTCTGTAGAGTGAAACCTGCCACTGACTGAAAATTCGAAATACTACTTTTATCAATCGAGTAGACATAAAGAAAAACACAAAATGCAACATAAAGAAACAGAACACACCTGAAATATTGAGTGGCAACTCCTACCTGTGATTTTGCCAAGAACAAGAAGTTCCGCTTCAGAGTTTTCATGATGATGTTTGGGGCCGCAACATGCTTTGGTTTTGCACCTCACGATTGGCCTATATAGAATGAAACTCCGCATTCTTAAGCGATGCAGCTGTGTTTGGCAAAATCATACCTACTCGTCCTCCTCTTCCTCCTCCATCTTTCACCGCCAGTCCCTTCTGCGCTTTAGGCTTATTCAACTGTCACAGATTACAATATTCCCAGAAACAAAGCGTGGATCCAAAGTTTCCTCCGAGTTCAAGGAGCTGGGATCAGTGCCTGTTGACTTGCGACCGATAAACACAATATTCTATAGAGAACACATTGCCTCCATCAGCCAAAGCTTATGAACCACTGACAGATATCAGAGCTGAAGCATCCACCAAACCGGCAAATTTTAAAAAGCTTGAAAAATAGATTGATACAGGAATTAGAAGTTGTCCTTCTGTTTTAAAACATAGGTGCTAAATAACATGATATTTAAATACAATGTATTGCAATCTCTCTACATTGTACCTTCTATCAAAAGCGTCGCTGCATTTCTCTATATCCACCAGTTGAGGATCTTTGAAGTTTATACTTGATGAAAGCTCTGGCATAGAAGTGGCGCGCACCAAGAAAATTATTTTCATTTCACAACGAAAATATTTATTAGATATCCTTGATGATGTTGGATTTTTAGGATCTCGGCCGGCAAAATGTCCAATAGAGCAAAATCTCAAATTACTTCCTGATGAGGGAGAGGTTCTTAAAGATCCTGCAAAATATCGAAGATTGATTGGTCGTCTCATTTATCTTACCATTACACAGCCGGATATACATACTCGGTTCACTTATTGAGTAGGTTTATGCAAACTCCTCGGATGCCACATTATGATGCTGCTTTGCGTATTTTGAAATACCTCAAGGGCACCCCCGGCCAAGGCATAATGTTTCCTTCTCAAAATGATTTAAAGTTGAAGGCGTATTGTGATTCAGATTGGGCATGTTGTCCTACTACCCGACGATCCACCACAAGTTATTGTGTGTTTATTGGAAACTGTCTCATCTCATGGAAGAGCAAACGCCAGAAAATGGTATCTTTTGTTAAAAGTACAACACCAGCCCAATAATTAAGGTCCAGCCCATTTGGAATCATGAATGAAAATATGCTAGAAAACTCTAGCAAAGTGCAACAATTGGTGTTTGGAAGTCCACCGCCTTAGGCTAAGAAATCTAGAAAAATGGTTTGTAGAAAAGCCTAGAACCATCACAAAACATGTGGTTAAAATGGAAGAATCCAATTTCACCTTCTAGGTAAGTCGGTTAGCAAGCCTATAAATATAAGATGGGTGTATTTGAACCAATCAATCAAGTAAGAATCAAGCAAGCAACCAAGTGAGAGTGAGAAGTAAAAGTAGTCTTGTAGGAGTGTGAGTGGTCTAGAGTTTGTCTCTAGAAAGAGTGAGTGTCATAGCTTCTAAAAGAGTGTCCTTGAGAATTTGTGTGTTGTAATCAAGGTTCTAAAAAACGCTAGGCGCTAGTCGGGCGGTGGGCTAGCGCCTAGCGCCTAGGCGGCTAGGCGGATTTAGGTAAATTTTTTGTATTTCCTGTGAATAAGTGTATATTGACACTTACAAAACATGTAGAAAATGTACAAAAGAAATATTTCTTTCAACAAATGAAGTAATAATCATATGGTATACTTGAGAACAAGGCAGTGCTTGCAACCACTGAAATGAAATGTGATTTCCAATCTTATGTCCAATGAATGAGCATTCTCAAAATTAGACACTGCTTGTAACTTGTAAGTATGGAAGACTAGAACTATTGAAACATTCAAGTCCAACACTACTAAGTCAAATGTACAAATGTTGCACAAACATTTCACATAATAGAATTAACATCAGTGAGTACGAATGATGGGCATACATTTCATAGAATTAACAACGAGTCAACTGTTCGAATGCTACACATGCAGACACTGATATAAAAGAAAATTGAGCTACGAAAGTTATTAGGCATTAAACTCTTCTTCACCATATCCCTCAAAGACTCTCTCCGTGTCGGACTCGAACTCAATTTCTTCATCATCTCCTTCTTCTTCCGTGTCCTCATCCGATATAAAATCTTCTTCATGAAGTTCTCTTACTTCAATATTTTTAGAACTCCCCCTAGGCTCTAGGGAACTACCTACTCCGATGTCTCTCCAATTCCCAAGCCAAGCTCAAGCTCTTCATCACCACCTTCCACAATCCATCCTTGAGCCATACTAGCTTCACTTGCAAGCAATATGTCCACCTTCTTCTCCTTCTCTCTTTTCTTCTTGTTCATAATCCTTGCATTAAATTGGACATAGACTAAATTATTTAACCTTGTTGTATCTAGTCTATTCCTTTTCTTTGTATGTATACCTTCAAAAGAACTCCAATTTCTTTCACAACCGGATGAACTTGTAGTCAATGAAAGTATCTTTATAGCCATCCTTTGCAAATTAGGCACACCATTTCCATAATTATACCACCATGCAACTAATGAAAAAAAAAACACACAATTAGTAATGAAAAATAAGTAGTAAACTCAAATTTAATAAATAAAATATAAGCATATGTGAATATTCATACCCGGATTATAGTTTTCATCATTCTCAGCGCATCCAAGTTCGGCCAAATGTCTTCCAAATCCACCTTCTTTTACTCTATACTTATGCATCTCAACATTTATCACTTGGTTTTGAACCTCATAGTTATCGGGGAAGAACTTCTCAACACAAGTAAAGATCCCCTCCATGACAATTGGATCATGTTGTATGCTTTGATTTTTGAAGAAATAATAAGGGTTCAAGAGGTAGCCCGCCAAATGCAATGGACTATCAAGCCGCTCACGAGCTTTTTCATCAATAATTTGAAGAATTGGTTGATAGTTGGCCTCATTGTTCTTGAATGTCTCTTTAATCTCCATCTTTGCTTTTTGTAGCTCTCCATACAAAAACCCCATTGATGGCTTCTTATCCCCATCAACAATTCGAAGTACCTTGAATAAAGGTTCAAACACTTTCAAGCAAAGTAAGACCCCACTCCAAAAATGTGAACTCAATACAGTAGCATATGCCACTTTCCCCTTTGTAGTCTTGACATGTTTGCATTGTTCCCATTCTTCACTAGCAACCATAACCTTCAAGTCTTTTTTCTTATCCATCAAACTTTGCAATGTGAGGAAAGAAGTTGCAAATCTAGTGACTCCGGGCCTTATTATGTCTCTTTTCTTGGTATGCTTCCTCATCAATGCCAAAGTTTTATGATGTGCATAAATGAAGATAGTGAAAGCCTTTGCCTTGTCAATAACTCCTTTGAACTTAGGGAGATTACCAATCCCTTGAAGCATGAGATTCAAAGTATGAGTGGCACATGATGTCCAAAACATATTCGGCCTCTTTTTTTTCATCATGTTTGCTGCCGCCATATTGTTAGAAGCATTATCGGTTACCACTTGAATTACATTTGGAGGCCCAATTTCTTCAACACACTTGTCAACATATTCGAAGATATATTCCCCGGTGTGTGCTTCACTAGAGCATTCCTTAGAAGAAAGAAATATGGTGCCTTCCTTGCAATTGACACATAAATTCATTATGCTTCTTCTTTTTTGGTCACTCCAAGCATCGGTCATGATTGAGCAACCATTCAAAGCCCACTCTTCTTCATGTTTCTTGAGTGACTTTCTTACTCTTTCTACCTCTTCTTTCAATAATGGCTCCTTTAATTCATATTGGCTTGGAGGTAGGTAACCCGGGCCAAATTGACCAATCGCTTCCATCACACACTTGAAGCTATCATTATCAATAGCATGGAAAGGAATACCGGCTTCATACACCCATCGAGCCAGATATTGATCCACTTGATGTGTTCTTTCTTTCCAAATTGCATCATAGATGTTTTGTTGTCGAGTCTTCTTACTTCCCTCATTTGAAGAATCGAGATTGATGGAGGATGCAAACTTATCCATAGGTCCAAGAGTGCGAGGCCTTTTCCTTAACCCAATCACTTCAATGTCTTCTTCTTCTTGAATTTGTTGAAGTTGCACCTCTTCCCTCACTTCCACAATGTGCTTATCCTTTTGTTTCTTCTTATTTTTTGCTTCTTCTAATACGGCTCGACATTTGGCTTTATCTTCATCCGAAGACTTTGTGCATGCCGCTACATTTCCCCTTATGTTGGCTACATGTTGTTTTAATCTATGTACTCCACCACTAATGATTTTGTCACACAACTTACATTTCACCTTATCTGAGTTTGTAGGATTTGCCAAGATCCCATATTCCCATCCCACATCTTCCGAGCTACGCTTCAACACATTTTCAGATTGGGAGGAGGATGACATTGTAGTAGATGCTCCAGAAGATAAAGTACCAGTCATCATCACACAAGACAAGAGAAGAAACAATCCTAAAATTCATATAAAATAAACATTACAAACTTTTAGGTATTAATCTCCCACAAAAAAATTATCACAGTATATTAACTTATAAGCCAAGTTAGCCAACTCAGATTGATGATCAGAACTCAGAAGTATAACTAAATGAAATGGAAAAACAGTTCAAGAATCTGCCACCTCAAGAAGCTGAAATGGGTATGATGAAACTTTTGGCCGAAAGGAAATCCGCCAAGGTGAGATCAAATCTTATACCTCCCATAAATTTTTTTTCATACATAGGTTTGGTCATAGATGAGCATGCTTACCATACATGCATGAATCCAGGTGGGAGACACCTGTGAAAATTTAAAAAAAAGGGTACAATGTCCCAGTAGTGATAGACAAACGCATGCGGCATGCGTAATCAACTTATACACACATATAGACACCCAATTATACAAACAATTGTGACAGACATGTTCTTGTGTTTATAAATATATGCAGCTTGGCTCCTCGCATGCATCTATATATAATTATTAATTGATACAAAATTAGGCTAAGAATCTAAGATAGTAAGATGTGCACCTGGATCTAGCAAACAACCAGCACGAAAATAATACTATCAGAATTTCTTTCAATTATCATTGTATCAGTAGACAAATAAGTTAACAGATTGTCAGATTCCCCTCAATACAATTGGTTTCAAATCCAAAACTTTGTAATTTTTTTTTCCAATACCTTAACAAATTCAACATTTACAAATTTGAAATTTGTAGAACAAAAAC